AGGATTTCAATTCAAAGGGATTCTTAACCTAAAAATATCAACAAATATAACCCTGCTTTCAGTTTTTGTCGACATTTTTATGCAACCTATCTTTGCTTCCTGCCCACCGTGTGTGTAAACTTAATTGAGAGAGGAGATTTTTATTTCAGTGAAACTCTAGAGACATTTCTCTACCGTGTACGTTTAGCTTTATCCTCTGTTACTACAGACCAGCGGGTTTGCATAGCTTTTATCCTAGATTTACAAAAATTTCATTTTTTTCAAGTGATATATTTTCACTATGAGAATTTGTTAATGCGCTCCTGAATTTTGAAGAGCAAAATTGTCATTTTGGATACATTCTCTTAACGGATCTCTGTTTATTTTTTAATACATAAATCGATAATTTGATATTGGGAAATATAGAAGTTTTACATACATACACGCATACATATATGCAGTTTTATTACCCGAAAGCATTAAACCTTACACTTTGTCTCCTCTCCTTTGTTTTGAATACAACTAATTTTAATTTTTCTTCTCACGCTCTTTCCAGTTCCGCGATATCAATTGTCCATGGCCGCCTTTGTAGGCAAATAAAAATCACTGTTTTGTGTAAATAATAAAAAAATATATATATATGTACAAAAAACGACTGACACCGAGAAGAACGACAACTGTCGCAAATCAATTTATATCAATCATAATTAAGTGTGAAATAACAACTTAAACGAAGCCAGCAAGTGAGCACAGTACTACGCCTGGCATGAGGAGGAAGGACTAGAAATTAACAACGGTGGACGTGCGTCGATGTAATTGTCAGCATTTGAATTTGATTAATAGCAATATAGCAGCTGAAAACGGATGCTTGAGAGGCTGTAAAGTGAATAGCAAATGGGAGATAACACATTCTATTGTTAGTTATATAGATATCAAGCATAGCACTAATGCATACAGAAATTCAACATTTTTGATACTCGCTTATTTCGATGCGCATACATACAATCTCCGGAAATTCAATTAGCTGCTGAACAGATAAATAACGAACTAAAATATTTGAGATTTTGCAACTTTCACTTTGCGTTTGCTATAGGCGTGCTCGAGCCACCAGCCAGCTGAACTACGAAATTCCTCCTGTATTTCATTGGCATTTAAGTAAGCAACCGAAAACCGCAAGCAAAGGAAGGAAGGCAGTTAAATTGCACAAATTAATAGTTTTCGTATAAACCACTAACTACAACTACAGCCACAATAATTGCTTCTTACTGAAACGGCTACCAGGCACATCAACAAAGATTTGCACTCGTCAACTGGTGGTCGACTGACGACAGCAGCCGACAAGTTAGCTAGTGGATTGACTGCCGTAATTCCCAACAGTTTCGACAAATCCAACACTGCATTGTCAAGCTGCAGGCACAAAAATCAACGCACATTTTGGGCCCACCCACTCACGCATACACTCATACACGCATACAGCACAAAGAATTGGCTGGCTGGCCTGGCATGCTTTTATTGCCCACAACTGACAAGCCATACCAACCGGGAGACAAATTCAATATTGCTGCCGTTGTTTGGAGTTTATTAAATTGATTGGCCGTAACTAATTGAACGACCAAGCGAACGCATGCCAACGGCAAGCAGAACAAGCAACAATAATAACCACAACTGTGCAGTTGTATAATTGTATACGAGCGTATGAACAGCAATGAAATCCCAGCTGCGGGCGCACAAAATACAGTGAAACAAAGCAAAAAACAACATAGCTGCGAAAATTTTCAATTTTATACGCACACAACAACACTTCCACTAGCTGGCATACAGGTAAACTAATACACAACTACACAGCCTACATATCCATATATATATATATATACATACAGTTAGGCACACATACACACACGCTTCCATACATACATACATACATATACACATTTTGAACACTAATAAGTTAAGCAGCACGTAGGCGCACACGCACGCACCCACACGCAAGCACCCGCACATTGCTTAATGATCACGATATTTCATTCAGTGTTGGGGTATAATTTAATTAGCCAAAATAGCGCAACGTTGGAAGCAGCTCAAGCAGCATATACTCAACCAGCAGCAACATAGGGGGGGCGCAAGGGGACGAGCAGCAGCAGCAGCAGCCGCTGCAGCCGCAAGCAAAATCACAAGCGCAATTGCAACAACAACAACAACAACAGCAATTACAGCCGCAGGCAAAGCCCCAGCCGCAGCAGGCGCTAGAGCAATTAGCTGGGCAAAAACATCAACTACTGCAGAAGCAACAACAACAGCAACAGCAACAACAGCAGCAACAACAACAGCAGCAGCAACAGCAAAAGCAGCCAGCTCAGCCGCCACTACCAAGTCGTGTCGCGACTGTAGCTGTATCTGTACCAGCAACAACAAGCGTCACATCGACATTTAATACCGCTAACCCAACAACCACAACAATAACAACGGCAACAACGGCGGCCAGAGTCTTCTCGCGTTACGATAGCATTGAGGAGCTGCAGCAGCGTAAGAGCCGCAGTGGAAGCGCAATTGGAATAGCGTCAGCGGTCGGAGCACAGGGTGCACAAGGTGCTCGTGGTAGCATAGCGATCGGCAGTGGAGCTGGAGTGGGTCCTGGTGGTGCTGGTATTGGAATTGGCGGCAGTGGGAGTGGTTTGTATGCATCTGCGGGAACGCGTTTACCAGTAGCAGGTGGCGGCAGCGGCGGTGTTGGTGTGCGCGGTTCACGGAGTGGTAGCATAGCAGTTGGCTTAGATGGTCATCGTACAGTGCTGAGTCCCAGTGGTGCAGGAGCATCCTCCGCGGTTAGTCAGCAGTTAGGCAGGGGTAGCGTGAATGGCTATTCATCGTCGGTAGCAGCAGCAGCAGCAGCGGCGGCAGCAGGTGGTGGAGGTGTTGGTAGTGGCATTGGCGGCAGTAGTGGTGGCACACAATTGATAGGCGGTGGTACGACGACGGCGCGAGCGCGACTCTCGATTAGCTCACCATCAGGCGCTGGTGTAACAGCAGCAGCGGCAGCAACGCACGGTAGTCTAACAGCTGTGAATGATTTCTCTGGTACAGGGCTCTTAAGTATAGGTGGCGGTGTTGGTATAGCCGGTAGCGGCAGTGCCGTTGGTGTTGGCCCAGGCGGTGCTGGTACTGGTGTTGCAGCAAGCGGTGTAACCGGGGGTGCAGGAAGCGGTGGCGGTGGTGGTGTTCCTAAACGTCAGGGTAGCTTTTCCAACGTTTTTTCGAAATTAATCGACGGTATGCCTGCCGGTACAATGTTCTCCAAATTCAAGAGTGCCAATACGGCATCAACATCATTACAAAACATCACCGATGCTAATCCGATTAGCCAATACTTTGAGATCGGTAAGCAAGTGGCGTGTGCGGGTCCCGAACTAGTGTGGCGGATACATGACGGCTATCGGAAAAGTGATGGCAGGGTGAGTCGAAAATTATTGTTTACAAATTATCATCTAATAAGTACCTAAGTGCTATGTACATTTGTATGTTTATCCGCGGTTTTTTGAAATTAAAGGCAAATCGGCTCGGTTATGAAAACTGGCAGCTTTGAAGTAACTATCCAAATTCACGCATATAAGATAACTAGATTTCCCTCACGCGCTTCGCTGAGTGTAGGAACTTTCTGCCTGTTGCATTAGGTTTAATTTATTTCAAAAGCACTCAACATATATGTCTAGGAAGTTGGCTTATGGTATGACGCTGTTCTGTACAATAAAAAAAAATCAAAAAAGTCGTAAAAGTTGAATCCTTTCCTTACTAATATTATAAATCCGAAAGTGAGTTTGTTTGTTTGCTACGCTTTTACGCTTTAACTACTCAACCGATCATCATGAAATTTTGTACATTGCTGTCATTTAGCCCAACTTAAGATATAGGATACATTTAATCTCGATTAGACAAGGGGGCCTGGCACCTCCCATACAAACAGAATTTTTCATACTGCATTTCTCAGGAAATATTTTTGATAGATTGCTGAAACTTGGTATGGAGATATATAAAATCATTATCTACTCATGGATGAGGGCTACCACCTTTTAAAAAAAATCAAATTCAACTTCAATTAAGGGAGTTATTTATTTGAAAATTATATTAAAAAAATGCATGTCAGAAGGTATAGAAAAGCTGTAGTTTGAATATATTTTGAAAAGGGTTGCCACCTGTTTGAAAAATCAAATTTGAATTAATTATACGCAAGCTATCTGAGAATTAAAATATGATTGTCTAACGAAATATTGTTAAGAAATCTTTAGTTTGAAAGTTTTGAATAATATTTAAGTCTTTCGCAAGTGTTGCCACCTTTTTAAAAATTAAATTCAATTATTTGTACAGTAAAAGGCGCGCAATGGTTGTGGCGGTTGTATTATCGGTAGTGATTTGAGTTTTACCCCTGCACAACCCAACCTTGGTGTCTCCGAATGAAGCTTTAACGCACAATAATACTGGCCAATCACATCCATTAGGCCAATCGTAACACAAAAGCATTCGATATACTCAATGGTGCAACAGGTCGATTTAATCTGACATTCACGGCACCTTTTCTAACTTGGCGATTATTCGTAATAACTCCGGCGCCACCTGGCAGCCCTTTTTGGCAATAGCATTGCCTTTACCGCTACCAATACATGTTTTGAATATTAGCCAAAGTGGATCATAAATAAGATTTTTAGTAATAGTTTAACTCCAGCGCCAACTGGCGGGTGAAATTGTGAAACTACACTATCCAGAGAGCCACTCAGAAGCACACAAAAAACTTCGTGAAAATCCGTCTGGGCATTTAGGAGGATTTCACTCAAAACCCCATCTACAGAAGAATTATATATTTGTTTTTGCACAGCGCCATGCCCTCTTTTCAAATTGCCCATTTTTCTCCATGAGTATAAGATTGATTTTATATATCGCCGTACCCAGTTCCAGTACTCTACCCTTTTTCCAATAGCTCCAATTTTTTCCAAGAGTGTGCGATTGATATAACATGTATCTCCATACCAAGTTCCAGTACTTTACCATGAACACTTGCGGATATATGCAGTATGAAAAATTCAGTACGTATGGGAGGTGCAACGCTTCCTTTTCCAATAACCCCAATTTTTCTCCATGAGTATGCGTTTGATTTTATATATCTCCATACCAACTTCCAGTATTCTACCATGAACACTTGCAGAGATATGCAGTATGAAAAAATCGGTTTATATGGGAGGTGCCACGCCCCCTTTATATATCGAAATTTTATTAAGCCTATTTACTATCTTTGGGACGTCTGAAGCAGGTGTCCGAAATTTGAAAAAATCGATTAGGCCGTTCTCAAGCTTTGCGAACACATAAAAAACGACTTTCAAAATATATATGTATTAGTATAGAAGATTGGTATGAATCGAAATGGTTTTGAATATGTATCACAATATGAGTGCCACACGAAAGAGGTTTAAAAAGGTTGCCAACTGTTCAAAATGTTAAGTTCAAACTATTCAATAATTTAAATGAATTATTACAACATGGGTGTCAATCGAAATGGTTTTTAAAGGGCTTCATTTCAAAACTACATGTAAAGGGTTTCCATATGATGTAATGTGGAACGATTTTCCGTCATCCCTTGCCAAATATGGTTTGGAGACAAACCGGTTTCGGCGTTGTGCCATCTTCAGTGTCATTTTTCGTTCTCGAAGATGGCACAACGCCGAAACCGGTTTGTCTCCAAACCAAATTTGACAAGGGATGACGGAAAATCGTTCCACATTACATCACACTCATACCCTGTCGGAAACACCAACAACGAAAATGAGGTTTCCATATGTTTAAAATCTCAAATTGAGTTCAGGGGATAAGTCAATTGAAAAAGTATGACAAGTGAGAACTTTAAAAAAAGTTTTAGTTTGAAAACACTTTGAAGATGGTTAAACAAATTTTAAACCTTCTGTATTTGAATTGAGTTTTCTTGAAATAAATTTTACTCAATGTGGCACGTAGAAATTACATACACTCAGCGAAGCGGGTGAGAGCGATCTAGTATTTGAATAAAATAAAAATGAAAACCGTTCTGAGTAGCTTTTTAATAGTTCTAGAGTTCCTGGAAAAGAAAAAGAAAGTTCAGCAAAATTACGCCGAAAAAAATATTTTCAAATAAGTCGAAAAGTTTGAGTAAAATAAAGGTTAAAACTGTTCTGAGTAGCTTTTCAACAGTTCTGGAGTTCCTGAGAAAGAAAAAGTAAGTTCTGTAAAATACACAAAAAAATGCTTTCGAAAAAGAAATATAAAAATTAAGACTGTTCTTAGCTTTTCAATAGTTCTAGAAAATTACACCGGGAAAAGTATTTTTTCAAAAAAGTCGAAAATGTTTGATGTTTGAAAAAAAAAATAAAACTGTTACAAGTAGCTTTTCAATAGTTCTAAGGTTACTGAAAAGGAAAAATGTTCTCCAAAATTACGCCGAATAGAATGTTTTTTAGTCAAAAAAGTTAAATTTAAAAATAATTAAATAAAAATAAAAATTAGAGCTGTTCTGAGTAGCTTTTTAATAGTTCTGGAGTTCCTGAAAAGGGAAACAAGTTCTGCAAAAGTACACCGAAA